GGTTTCGGCCCAACAGCGGGTGCTGCCCTTTCTTCTCATATGGACGTTGACAAGGTCAGTGACACTAAAAATGTGACCTGAATTGGATTAAGTTCAATCAGAAATGTAACGGACATCCTCTTCAAATGGGGCAAAAAAGAGAGAGTAGTAGTTTATATATCTTAGATTAATATTTGAAAGATCAACAACTCTCACTGTGTTTCAGATTAGTTTTACTGGATCGACAGACGTAGGACGCCTGGTGATGGAGGCAGCAGCTAAGAGCAATCTGAAGCATGTATCACTTGAACTCGGAGGTAAGTCCCCTGTCATCGTCTTTGATGATGCTGATTTGGACATGGTTCTAGATCTTGTGAGGATGGCAACATTCTATAACAAGGTACTCATCTTTTCCAACAATTCACCTGTGCGCATAAAACACTCTGTTGTTAGTCTGAACTGAAAGTTGGTGTCTGTGTTTAGGGAGAAGTTTGCGTGTCGGGTAGTAGGATTTATGTTCAAGAAGGAATTTATGATGAGTTTGTGAAGAAAATAGCAGAGAAAGCCAAGAGCTGGGTAGTTGGAGACCCTTTCAATCCTACTGTTCACCAAGGTCCTCAGGTACTAAATTTTATCTAGCTTCATAGCAAAGTAAATTGATGTTTTTGTCAAAAAAAATTTTGTGGCTTGCTCTCATTAAGTTCCCTAGAAGTTTTACTATCGAAAACATAACTGGAGTCTTTTTTGTGGCTTCTTCAGATTGACAAAGTACAATTCGAGAGAGTACTAAACTACATAGATCTTGGAAAGAGAGAAGGGGCTACATTGCTGACAGGAGGAAAGCCTTGTGGAGAAAAAGGGTACTATATCGAGCCCACGATCTTTACTGATGTCAAGGTAAGACAATGCAACTACTAACTTCACAGCTAAATATATAAAGATTTTCGATATGATGTCCTCAGTGCGCTAAATCCTTATTGCAGGAGGACATGAAGATAGCTCAGGATGAAATATTTGGGCCTGTTATGTCTCTCATGAAGTTCGAGTAAGTACTCCCTTCTGTTTCTCTGATAGAAATACATGATTCCTTACACAAATTTGTTTAAAGAAAAGTTAAACAAAGACAGATCAATGGACCTAAAATTTAGTTTAGCCATTTTAATTTTGTGCACCGTATTTCCCTTGAATCAGGACAATTGAGGAGGCAATTGAGAAAGCCAACAGCACAAGGTACGGATTAGCTGCAGGCGTACTGACCAAAGACATAAACATAGCCAACAGAGTATCAAGATCAGTTCGAGCAGGATCGATATGGATCAACTGTTATTTTGCTATTGACAAGGATGTTCCTTTCGGCGGCTATAAGATGAGTGGCTTCGGAAAAGAGTTGGGAATGCATGGTATTGAGAAGTATATGCAAGTGAAGTCTGTTGTCACTGTTGGAAACATGACATACAACGCAGCGGAAAAAGCATATCATGAATATTAATCAAAATTAATTAAATATTAGAAGAATACCTGAAACGTTTTCCGAATTTCTATAATAATCTGTCCCGAGATCAATCCAAAATAGCTTCCTCAAGAGAAAAAGCCTCCAATTGAAATCCACCCGTCACCGTAGAGGAGCAATACTGAGAGATAGGTTCTCAAAAATCTATTTCTTCATATTATCTTCATAAGATTTTGAATCTCTTCTCTTTCTTCATATAAGGCTACATATGAACCCTATTTATAGGATTACACTAGTCTTAGAGATTTTAACTTTAAACAATTCATAATTATCTAGAACTCTATCCATAACAATTAAGGATAGAATAGATTTGTTCAAAAACTTTATCCATAACAATTAAGGATAGAAATAGATTTATTCAAAAACTTTATCCATAACAATTAAGGATAGAAATAGAATTGTATTGCATGTATACCTCTTTGAAGATGAGTTCGGCTACCGCATTTGGGACAACGAAAACAAGAAAGTGATCAGGAGCAGAGATGTGATTTTCAACGAGAAGGTGATGTGCAAGGACATGCACAAGACTGATGACTCAGAGAGCGAGTCAATATTTGTAGATGCAGATGATGTCCCGAGTAACCTCTCGGAAGAACCCAATGCAGAGGGTCCTCAGCCAGAAGAGCCTGTTGGACAAGATGGGGCGCAGGAGCCCGACGCACCAGCTCCGATATTAAGAAGATCTTCTCGTCCTCCTGTACCCAACAGGAGATACATGAACTATCTATTGTTGACAGATGGTGGGGAGCCTGAAAGCTTTGATGAAGCTTGTCAGTGTGGAGATAAGAGCAAGTGGGAGCTTGCAATGAAAGATGAGATGAAGTCCCTCATCTCAAACCGGACGTGGGAACTAGCTGAGTTGCCTACAGGTAAGAAGGCACTCCACAACAAATGGGTGTACCGGGTGAAAGAGGAAAAGGATGGTTCCAGAAGATATAAAGCCCGACTGGTTGTCAAAGGTTTTCAGCAGAAGGAAGGAATTGACTACACCGATATTTTCGCTCCCGTGGTGAAGCTAAATACTATCAGGACAGTGATGAGTATTGTAGCAATTGAAGATCTTCATCTCGAACAGTTAGACGTAAAGACGTCGTTTCTTCACGGAGATCTAGAAGAGGAGATATACATGCACCAGCCAGAAGGTTTCTCAGAAGAAAAGAAGAAAAAGAACCTGGTGTGCAGACTCAAGAAGAGCTTGTATGGCCTGAAACAAGCCCCAAGGCAGTGGTACAAGAAGTTTGACGGCTTCATGCACAAGGAAGGTTTCCAGAAGTGCAACGCCGACCACTGTTGCTACTTCAAAAGATATCAGTCCAGCTATATCATCCTACTGCTGTATGTTGATGATATGTTGGTTGCAGGAGCAGATATGAAAGATATCAAGAGTTTGAAGCAGCAGCTGTCAAAGGAGTTTGACATGAAGGACTTGGGTCCAGCGAAGAAGATCCTTGGAATGCAAATCACGAGAGATAAGAAGAGAGGTCTCTTGCAGTTATCTCAGACGGAGTACATCAACCGTGTTTTGCAGAGATTCAACATGGGCGACGCCAAGCCTGTGAGCACACCCTTGGCCAGTTATTTTCGTCTATCGAAGGATCAGTCTCCTCAGTCAGAAGAAGAGAAAGAGAGTATGGCTCAGGTACCTTACGCCTCAGCTATCGGAAGCTTGATGTACGCTATGGTCTGTACGAGACCAGATATTGGCCATGCAATGGGAGTGGTCAGCCGGTTTATGTCGAATCCAGGAAAAGCTCATTGGGAAGCGGTCAAGTGGATTCTGAGATATCTACGAGGCACCACACAGAAGTGTTTGCACTTTGGTAAGGGACAGGTAGAAGTGCAAGGGTACGTAGATGCAGACTTCGGCGGTGAAGTCGATCACCGAAGAAGCACCACCGGCTACGTATTCACCGTTGGAACTACAGTTGTTAGTTGGATGTCATAGGTACAGAAGATTGTTACACTATCCACTACAGAAGCTGAGTATGTTGCAGTAATTGAAGCCAGTAAAGAGATGATATGGCTTCAGGGCTTATTGACAGAGCTGGGATTCAAACAGGAGAAGAATGTTTTGCACAGTGATAGCCAGAGTGTGATACACTTGGCGAAGAATTCAGCATTTCATTCTAGAACGAAGCATATTGCGCTTCGGTATCACTTCATCAGATCCCTGTTGGAAGATGACGTGTTAAAACTGGAAAAGATTCTAGGGAGTAAGAATCCAGTAGACATGTTAACAAAGACGGTGACAGTTTAGAAACTGGAGTTGTGCGCAACTTCAGTTGGCCTTCATGCATAGATGATGAGGGCGGAGCCACACATGAGAGGAGCTTGATGAGATAGCTCGTTAGCGTCGGTTTGATCTCCAAGTGGGAGATTGTTAGTTTGGGTGTAGACCAAACTCACCTCCGACGGCGGAGGAGCTCCGACGAGCTCCAGGATGTCGACGCAGGCGGAGCCACAGGCGAGGTCCAGGCGATCTTCGGCAGCACAGGCGAACCCTTCGAGCTCTACATTCGAACCCCCCACTTTTGCTCTGCGTTCGAACTCCTCCCGACCTCTGCGTTTGGCGATGGCGACCTTTGCGTTCGAGCGCTCCCACCTTTGCGTTCGTGGGCCGCTGGCGACAGGCTGTCGCCAGCTCATCATCTCTGCCTATAAAACCCCCACCTTTGGCCCTAGGGTTTCGCTGCTGAGCCTTCCCCCTTCTCCGATTTTTTCTTCCCTGGCGGCGGCGGAAAACCCCCCAAATCGCAGCTGCGATTTTGATTAAATCCCAGCATTCAACAGTGGTTGAGGGGATTTAAGAAGAGAGAGAGAGAGAGAGAACTAAAAGGGGTTTTATATTGTGGGGTTATTCATTTATTCTCAAGTTGATAATTGATAGGGTTCATACCCTTTAATCATTAACACTGTAGCTACAGTGTTTATCTGAGAAATCTCAGTTTTGAGATACGCTCCTAAATTGTAATTTCTTGTTTAATTAATAAGAAATTATCTGTGTGGCTCCCGAGGACGTAGGCAGTTGCCGAACCTCGTTAAAACTTGGTGTACTTTTTCTATTCTGCGTTTCTGATGCAATTAGGGTTTCAGCGTTAAATTCCCAATAACACAATCCCACAACCTAATTATACTATGAATGTAAATACAATAAGCTCAATGGTTGTGTGTGTGTAAGCAAAGAGAAATAAATCAAAACTAAACTCAATATAATTCTAGCTTAATAACAATGATAATCAAATATATATAAAAGAACTAGAAATAGAGTTTAGAAAACTTCTCAATTGATTAAGAGATTAAGGGAGGATGGTTGGATGTTCAAACACCAATAGATAATCTCCTCATGCTCTTGTGAAATTGATTTCCCAAAATCAAACTCTCAAATGCTTGTGAAATTGATTTCCCAAAATCAAACTCTCAAATGCTTAAAAGCTTTTTAAACACACTTAAACAAAAACTTAAACCCTTGATGAAACTCTTTTAAACTTGGTTTAAAACCCTCTCTTAATTGTAGAAAATAGTTATGGCAAATGGGTATATATAGGCTTGAAGAAAATAACTAAAAAAAAAACCTCAAAAACCCATAAAAAATAGAAAAACAGATGTTACCGTTATTGTGCAACGGTTGGCTGCTACAGTAACAGCGATCGATCATGCTACGGTGTGGTCGACCGTGCTACAGTGCGGTCGACCGCATTGTTCACAAATAGTTTCTGTTTTTGACAGATTCTGAAATTTTGCGTATCTGACTTTGTAAATTCAATTAAAAATAGTAAATCAACTCCAAAAATCATAAAATTTTGAGGAAATATTTTAGACATGTAGATAAACATTTTAGAGAAAGAATTTATGAAATATCACTTCCCAGTTGAGATAAATAAATGTTTAGACATAGATATACAGTTTCTGAAAAAAACTGCAGAAAATACGGTTTTGTAAATTCAATTGAAAATAACAAAACAACTCCAAAAATAGTAAAACTTAGGGAAATGTTTGTATATATGATGATAAACATGTAAACAAAGAAAATTTTCAAATCGCATTTCCCAATTATGAAAACGCATCAGTTTTGCAAAAACATGCACGAATATGTGCACGAACATGAGCTAATTAAAAACTTAATTTTATAAATTCAAATAAACATAACAAATTAATTCCAAAATTGATAAAACTTTGGAAAACATTTATAAACATGAAATTGAACATGTTAGAAAAAGAATTTCTCAAATTGAGTTTCTTATTTGTAAAAACTCATGTATTTTGCAAGTGTGTCCAAATCATGAAAATATGATATACATGAAATTTGATGTTTTGACATAAACAATGTTTTGAAACCCTATGAAATAATTTATAGACTTAATGAAATATTTATATAATAATTTATGTCCATAAACCAAAATTTTTGTATATATATAACTATATATATAAAAACCAAATATGTGTGTGTATATATGGTTGAGCTAAAAGTACTAAAACACATAATATAAAACATAAACTAAATATACCCAAACTTGATTGATCTTCGATGTAGCTCAACTTGGTACACTTGCGGATGAAGCTAGAACTTGGATCTTCAATTTGAATTGCATAGGATTTACTCCACAATTCCGCTAACCTCTATTTGATATGATCGTTATGGCGCAATTCCATCCATCCTCCAACATATTATTTATCTACAATAAATAATAAAATATAAACACTAGACAAATAATATTAGATATAAATTGTTTGTTAAATCATTATCAAAACAAGAAGGCCAACATATATGACACATAATTCATCTAAAATATCCACATATGCTAAGTGGATTTTGCTGTTGTAAGAGAAACATGTTAGAGGCTCGTATTCAAGCTTTTTAGCTCTATAAAAAATACAAGAATTTAGAGTGCATAGCATATATATTATAAAAAACATATTGGTTCATGAAGAATTTTTTCTAATAACGATATTATTCCAACAATATTAAATCAAATTTATTA